ACTAGGAGTGCAGGCAGGGTATTAGAAATGGACCTGAAGGTCAGAGAGAGACCCCAACCACTGGAAATGTCAGAAAGAGGCCCCATTCACCTTGGGAGTGGTGTTTGAGGCCGAAAGACCACCAGGGAAGACCACAGCAGTGGCTTCCAACAGAGACTTTCATAAGCTATCATAACACATTCCCAGTCACCATCCACTGACATTTCTTGGTAAGAGATATTCTGCTGCTACAGTGACTACCAGAACCTCAGTCCCACATTTACCTAAAGAAATGATTACCAGAACTGTTGCTCTACCTCCACCGGAGGAGCAGTCACCAGATGCGACTCCACCTGCACCTCCTGGAGCAGACAACTGAGCCTTGAACCTGTTTACACCTGGAGGAGCAATCACCAGAGTTACAGCTCATAACTACATCAATTGGAGGAAGAGGGATCCTTTGAAGCACAGGCTTTACCTACAATGAGTAGAGGAACAGATGGGTATACAACAATGTTAGAGTACACTCAACACCACAAAGAGCAAAACAGCACCACCAGAAATTAGTGGTGCTATAACAACAAGACCTAAACATCCCAATGCAGATGAAACAGAAGGAACAACCTTAAAAATAACTTTATAAGAATGTTTGAGACCCTTACAGAGGAAATAAAAAATTCCTTTAAAGAAATGGAGGAAAAGACAAACAAAAAATTGAGAGAACTCAATAAATCCCGTAAAGAAAGCCAAGAAAACCAAGAAAAAAAAACCCAATCAGTTAATTCCAAGACTTGAAAATTGAAATAAGAGACAATAAAGGCAACCCAAAATTCTGGAAATGGAAAAATTGAGTAAATGATCAGGAACCACAAATTCAAGTGTAAACAACAGAATACAAGAGATGAAAGAGAGAATCTCAGGTGTTGAAGATACGGTAGAGGAAATAGATTAATTGGTCAAAGAAAACATTAAATCCAATGGATTCTTAACACAAAATATCCAGGAAATCCGTGACACCATGAAAAGACCAAACCAAAGAAGAATAGGGATAGAAGAAGGAGAAGTCCAACTCAAAGGCACAGAACCTATATTCAACAAAATCATGGAAAACTTTCCCAACCCAAAGAAGGAAATGCCTATGAAGATACAAAACACCTAGAGACCACCAAATAGACAGGACCCTCCAAGAAAGTTCTCTCACCATGTAATAATCAAAACACAAAATATACAGAGTAAAGAAAGAATTTTAAGAGCTACAAAGGAAAAGGGCCAAGTGACATACAAAGGCAGACTCGTCAGAATAACACTTTACTTCTCAATAGAACAATGAGAGCCAGAAGGTCCTAGACAGGCATTATGTAGACACTAAGAGACCACAGATGCCAGCCCATACTAATATACCAAATAAAACTTTCAATCACCATAGAACCAAAAAACAAGATATTCCGTGACAAAACCATATTTAAATAATACCTAACCATAAACCCAGCCCTACAGAAAGTACTAAAAGGAAAACTCCAACTCAAGGAAGTCAACCACATTCACAAAAATACAGGCAATAGATGATCTCACAGCAAAAAGCTCAAAGAAGGGAAATGTACACAGGATGCCACCACCAACAACAAAAACAAATACTCCTCAAATTGCTCCACACACTAAAAACAGAAAGAGCATTGTCAAACTCATTTTATGAGGCTACAGTTACCCAGATATCCAAATCATACAAAGACACAAATAAGAAAGAGAATTACACACCAATCTCCTTTATTAACATTGATGCAAAAATGCTCAATAAAATACTGGCAAACTAAATCCAAGAACACATCAGAAACATCTACCATGATCAAGTAGGCTTCATCTCAGAGATCCAGGGATGGTTCAACATTCAAAAACCCATCAATGTAATCCATCATATGAACAAACTGAAAAAAAAAACCCTACATGATAATCTCATTAGATGCTGATTAGGCTTCAACAAAATCCAATACCACTTCATGATAAAGGTCTTGGAGATACCAAGGATACAAAGAACATTCTTAAACATAATAAAGGCAATATACAGCAAGACAACAACCAACATCAAACTAAATGGAGAGAAACTCCCAACTATTCCTCAAAAATCAGGAACAAGACAAGATTGTCCACTCCCTCCATATCTATTCAATATAGTACTTGAAGTTCTAGCTGGAGCAATAAGACAACAAAAGACGATCAAGGGGATCAATTGGAAAGGAAGAAGTCAAACTCTTGTTATTTGGGGATGATATGATAGTATACATAAATGACCCAGGGAACTTCTACAGCTCATAAACACCTTCAGTAATGTAGCAGGATACAAGAATAATGCAAAAAAGTTAGTAGCCCTCCTATATTCAGATGACAAACAGGCTGAGAAAGAAATCAGAGAAACATCACCTTCTCAATAGCAACAAACAACATAAAATATCTGTGGCAACTCTAACCAAACAAGTGAAAGTCCTGTATGGCAAGAACTTTAAGTATTTGAAGAATGAAACTGAAGAAAATATCAGAAAATGGAAAGATCTCCCATGCACATGGATAGATAGGATTAACATAGTAAAAATGACAATCCTACCAAAAACGATCTACAGTTTCAATGCATTACCCATCAAAATCTCAGCACAATTCTTCACAGACCTGGAAAGAACAACACTCAACTTCATATAAAAAACAAAACAACCTATGACAGCCAAAACAACCCTGTACAATAAAGGAATGTCTAGAGGCATCACCATCCCCAACTTCAAGCTCTAATATAGAGCTATAGTAATGAAAACAGCTTGGTATTGGCATAAAAACAGACAAGTGGACGAGTGGAATCAAATGGAAGACCCTGATAGTAGCCCACACACCTATGAACAACTGATTTTTTTTACAAAGAAGCTAAAAATATAAAATGGAAAAAAGAAAGCATCTTCAACAAATGGTGATGGTGTAACTGAGTGTTGATTTGTAGAAGAATGCCAATAGATTCATATCTATTGCCATACTCAAAACTCAAGTCTAAGTGGATGAAAGACCTCAACATAAATCTATCCATACTGGGATGTACCCTTGAACACATTGGTACAGGAGACCACTTCCTGAATCTAACACAATGGCACAGACACTGAGAGCAATAATTAATAAATGGGACCTCCTGAAACTGAGAGGCTCCTGTAAAGCACAGGACATGGTTGACAAGACAAAATGGCAGCCTACAGGATGGGAAAAGATCTTCACCAACCCCATATCTGTTAGAGGGATGATCTCCAAAATATACAAAGAACTTAAACTATACACCAAACTACAAATTATCCAATTAAAAAAAAAAAAAACGAAAACAGACCTAAACAGAATTTTCAACAGAAGAATATCAAATCTAAAAGATACTTAAGGAAATACTCAGCATCCTTAGCCATCAGAGAAATGCAAATCAAAACAACTCTGAGATACCATCTTATACCAATCAGAATGGCTAAGATCAAAAACACTGATGACAGCTTATGTTGGATAGGTTGTGGAGTAAGAAGAACACTTCTTCATTGCTGGTGGGGGTGCAAACTTGTATAGCCACTGTGGAAATCAGTATGGTGATTTCTCAGAAAACTAGGAATCAATCTACCACAAGACCCTGCAATACCACCCAAAGGAGGCACACTCACAGCATAAGGAAATTATTCATAATAGCCAGAACTTAGAAACAACCTAGATGCCCTTCAACCAAAGAATGGATAAAGAAAATGTGGTATATTTAAATAATGGAGTACTTCTCAGAGATAAGAAACAAAGACATCCTAAAATTTCAAGTGAATGGACAGAACTAGAAAACAAAAACAAAACCAAAAACCAAAAACCAAACCAAAACATCCTTAGTGAGGTAACCCAGATCCGACAGACAAATATAATATGTATTCACTCATAAGTGAAAACTAGAAATAAATCAAAGCATAACTAGCTTACAATCTACAACCCCAGAGAAGCTAGATCCTTCTTCCAGAAACAGATAGAAGCAGATGTGGAGATCAATAACTAACCATTGTGCTCTGACCTCCTGAAGTATAATCAAAGTGAGAGAGGAGCGATAATATGAATAAAGGAGTCAAGACCACAATGGGGAAACCCACAGAATCACCTGGCCAGAGCTAGTAAGAGATCACTGACTGCACTGTCCACTGGGGAACTAGCATAGGACTGAACTAGGACTCCCGAATCCAGGTGACAATAGTGTGGTTCGGGCAGTATGAAGCCACTGGAAGTGGGACCAGGACCTAACTCTAATGCATAAACTGACTTTGTGGAGCCCATTCTCTATGGAGAAATTCCATGCTCAGCCTAGACATGGGGGTGTGCCTTGGTTCTGCCTCAACAAGGTGATGCGACAGGCTTAGTTGACATCCTAGGGAAGGCTTTACCCTCTCTGAGGGGCATATGGGAGGTGAGATGGGGGGATGAGGGGAGAGCAGGAGGAGAGGAGGGTGGGGAAACTGGGATTGGAATATAAAAAGCCAAAGACCAAAAAAAAAAAAAAAAAAAAAAAAAAAAAAAAAAAAAGGGGGGGAAATAAAGAAGAAATGGGTCTGAAGATATGAGAGGTCATAGCTAAGGCCATAATTGCTCATGAGAGATGTATGAACTCCTGGCCTCTACCTTTGGAACAATGTCTTCTATCTATCCATGTTGTGAATATTGATTTAGGGATGATTTTTATTCTGAGCTTAGACTTCTTTCAGTCTCAATTCTGCCTAGAGTCCATGCCCATTCTCTACAGGAGAATCACTCCGCCTCTCTTCCAAATTCATGCCCTTGGAAAGTTGTGACACAAATTTGTCCTTAATCCCTGATACATGAGGTTCTGGACACTAAAACTAGAAAATCTCTTAGTTCACTAATTCTGATCCAGATAAGTAAGGAGGGCAGTTATGATGCCCTCTGAGGAGTATGTTCTAGTGACTAATGATCCTGAAAGGCAAAATGGGGAGAAATATTAGACAATATTTGTGTTAACTTCTGTTCCCTTCCTACCATGTGTCTGTGCCTCTCCCTAGTACCTTGCATAGAGCCCCCTTCACATCCTTATTTCTCAGGGTATAAATCAGAGGGTTCAACATAGGAGTAACTATAGTATAAAAGAGGGCAACAAACTTCCCTTCACTCTCAGAATACTCCTGGACAGGTTGGAGATAAGTATACATGGCTGAGCCATAAAAAAGGAAAACCACCATGAGGTGGGACCCACATGTCCCCAGAGCCTTCCTGCGCCCAGCCATTGACTTGATCTTCATCACTGCATGAGTAATATGTACATATGTCCCTAGAATTAGTGCTACAGGACAGACCAAAATCATGGCTCCAGCCACAAACAGGTTGTCTTCTATCATCTCTGTGTCCTCACAAGCCAGCTTCAGGAGAGCAAGCATATCACAGAAGAAGTGGTTCAGGTGACGGCCACAGAGAGGTATGGTCATGATGAGGACGGTCTGAGTCAGGGAGTTCACAAGACCTCCCACCCAGGAGGAGATGGCCAATGCCTGGCAGAGAAAGGGGTGCATAATGCTAGTGTAGTGTAGTGGACGGCACACAGCAGTATAACGGTCAAAAGCCATCACCACAAGGAGCACACACTCAGTTCCACCCAGCAAGAGCACTGTGAAGAACTGGGTCATACACCCAGCATAGCTTATGGTCTTGTCATTTCCAGAAATATTGACAAGAAGTTGAGGCACAGTGCTGGTGGTGTAGCAGAGGTCCAGGAAAGAGAGGTTATTGAGGAAGAAGTACATTGGCTTTGTAGTCGACAATCCATTTGTGAGACTGTGATGATGGTGGAGTTGCCAAAGATGGTAAGGAAGTAGAAAATTGAAATAAAGATAAAAAAGACATGTTCCAACTGAGGCCAATCTGAAAAGCCCATCAAAATGAAGCCACCTTCCAAAGTGGTATTGAAGCTGCCCATAGCCCTTCACCCTCACAAAATAGAAGACAATTAAATGCTTGCTATCATAGGGAACATTTTGAAGTCACTTGAACCCACAGAGTAACCCAAAGCTGTATGAAGCCTGGCACTTTGCCCTCTGTCTGGTCTATCTCTTGTTGACTCTTGACTCTGCCGAGGTGGCACAGGCTGAAGGTACAGAGAGTCCTTCTTCTATTCCTGCAGTTAGGTTGGATTCCAGGAACAGCAGACCCTACAAGCAGGAAAGATTATCACTCAATTATCCACAATGGATTGTCTACTGTGTAGCCCATCACAGATTGGTTTCCTACTGTCAGTGATAAACACTGTGGTGATGAAAGCTATAACCACAAGGAACAAACACTCCATTACAACCAGTGCTATGAAGAGCTGAGCTACACACCAAGCTGAGTCTAGCTGTTGGTACTGATGGGGTAAGGGCTTTGGAAGTGAAAAGCCAAAACACTGCCAACATTATTCTGTAATATTCTATATATATTCCAGAGCCATACACTCCACGTTATACTTAGCTATTCAACTCAGCTCTACTCTCCAGGCCTGCATTTTCTGTTCTTAATTCTATTCTTACCCAGTGAAGAGATGATTGGAGCATTAGTCATGTGGCCTTTGCTTGAATTGCATTCCTTCCACCTGCTTGTTTTGTGACTTAATTCAGGCCACCAATGCTCTAGATAGTGTATTTTCAACCCTGTAGGGGTGGTATTGCCTTCTTCACAGTCTTGACCTGAAGATTCAAAAGCACTGATGTGGAATCTGCTGTTAAATTCTCATTGCTACTCCATTTCTTTCATTTGCTTCTTAGTCTATGAGCAAAGTGTTTCAATGGAATAGGAGGGAGGAGTACCCAGGCTCTATTCACTGGTTTGGCCCTGGCTGCTCACTTTCATCCAACTCCGTGCATATAATTAGTACAACAGTCTATGAGGCCCTGCCCATGACCAGTTGTCATCTGCTACAAAGGACTGAGAACCTGTAGCTACTTCATAGTAAAAGTACAATCATAAATATGTTTTTTGTGATGAGTTTCCCACCTGAATATTTTTTCACTTCTCAACATCTTCCCTGTCTGGTGCCTTCTCACCAGACCTGTCTGCATTATACAGTTTCTTTCTCTACTGGTACTAATCAGAATTCTGTTAAGTATGCCTTGTGCCTCTACATACTGGGACTCTTCATTATTAGAGATTACAGTAAATGTAGAAACAAATATCAGTGGCTTCTTTTACTGTCTAGTAAAGGGATGATGCATACATATCATTTTCTTTCACAACATAGCGATTTTAAAATTTGTTGAGTAAAACATTAGACTCTCACTATAAAAATCAGTAGGAATCAATTTCTCTCTGAGAAACTAGATTAGATACACTTTCACACACTAAAAGGGAGGAAAAGTATTAAAATTATATTCTTTTAGAAGGTCATTTTCTGAGGAGAAATTCTAGACAGAATTGTAAGGTTTTACGGTATCTGTATACAGGTCTTTCACCTCTTCATTTCATTTTATCCTAAGATACTTTGTTCTTTTATTGCATGGAATAATGGTATTATGTTTTTTTTCCTAATAGTTGGATGAATTCAGAGCTGCAGTTTCTTTTTATGTATTGTATCTTGTAAGCTATATCAGTTATTTCAACATTTCTGTCACTTTTCTGCTGTTGCTTTTGTGTTTTGAGGGTATTCTGTTCATATTATCATGTCTCTCAAAAGCAGTGGTTGTCTTGTATTTCTTTGTCCTGGGAAAACTGGATGTGTACATGCAGAAGGATAGAAGGAGACCCATATCCCAAAAGCCAGCCAAAGCATTAGGGACAGTCCACAAGTAGGTCAAGCCACACAATTGTCACATATATGTAGAGGGTCTAGGTCAGTCTCATGCAGACTCCTGGTTGTTGGTTCAGACTCTATGAACACCTGTGAGCCATAGTTAGTTGTTTCTGTGGGTTTCTTGTGATGCCCTTGACTTGTCTGGTTCATACAATCCCCCCTCCCTCTCTTCAGCTGGATTTCCTGAGTTCAGCCCAATGTTTGGTTGTGGTTCTCTGTGTCTGTTACCATCAGTTACTGGATGAAGTTATTCTCTGAAATTGGGGTAGCCACCAATCTCTGAATATAGCAAACTATAGTTGGGCATCATTATGTTGACAATTTTTTTTCAGTTAAGTTTGGTTCTATCCTAGGTCTCTGAACCATCCAGCCTCTGGGGCTCTGGCACTGCAAGCCAATGCCAGTGGACTCACTCTTATGGTATGGGTTTGAGACTGGACCAGTCATTGGTTAGCCACTCCCACAATCTCTATGCAGCTCTTACCCCCAACACACACACACACACACACACACACACACACACACACACACACCATAGGCAGGACCTTCATGTAGATTCAGGTTGGACATTTGCTTCATTTTACTTTTTCCCAAACAACTAGGGTTGCTATTCTTACAAGGTAAATTATTCAGAAGCAAACTCTCTTTATTTATTATTTAGCATAGAAAGTATTTATTTCTTGTATATTTTTCTTGCTTAAATGTTAATTTTTCCTTCAATTGTTAAAGTAGATATTATTTTAGAGTTTTAGAGCAGTTTAACTCACAGAAGTGTTATATGGAAATTTTCCATTTATTCTCTATGTGCCAACTTCCCCCCCCACACACACTTGCATAGCCTCCCAGATTATCAACAGCCTGAAACAGAGTCCTCTACTGATCACAATTAAAGAATGCACCTGAGGACATCATTATTGTCCACACTCCACAGTGTGTTTCACTGTCATTGGGTTCTGTGTTTGCTGTCATTCATAAAAAAAATTTCCAGCTGGATGGTGATGGTGCACAAGTTGGGCTGCGGTTGTGTACACCTCTAATCCTAGCACTTGGGAGGCAGAGACAGGTGGGTCTCTGAGTACAAGGCCAGTGTGGTCTATAGAGTGTGTTCCAGTACATCCAGAGCGGTTACACAAAGAAACCCTGTCTCGAAAAACTGATTAAAAAAATTCCCCAAACCAACATCAAAGTTCCCCATGTTCAGTTAATATTTACAAGAGGAGGAGCTTAGTCTACTGCAACTTGATATGCTGTGCTTTGTTGATACTTCTGGCGGGGGGGGGGGCCTGCCCTTTTCTGTACAGGAACATGGGATGTGTTTATTTGGGGGGAATTCAACTGCTGGAGTTATGACATCATCCCAGTCTTTCAAATATTTCCCCCCTCCTCTCTCCCTTGTAGTCAGTAGCCAGGGTCTGATGCATGTCCATATTTAATAATCAAGATAATCAAAGGGGTAAATAAAATTACCCTCAACCCTCTTAGAAACATTTCTATTTTGAACAGTAACTGCAATTTACTGATCACACGGACACAAATTTAGCCTCTAGTATATCTCAAATATTTTTTCTTTTCTTCCCCGTTTTTATAAAGCATAGATTATTTTCTCATATACTATAACCAGAATATAGTTTCCCTTCCTTTTCCTCCACCCCATTTCTCCCCACCTCCTCTCCCATTCAGATCCACCTTCCCCTGTCTCTCATTAGAAAAAAAAACCCAGGCTTTTAAGAGATAATAACAAAACATAAAAAAAATGGTAAGATAAAACCAAACCATCATATTCAAGTTAGACAAGCCAAGACAACAGAAAAATAAAGGAGCACCAAGGGAAGGCACAAGAATCAGAGACACACTCATTTACACACTCAGGAAAAGTACTAACTGAAAGTTATGGTATATATATGCAGAGGACCTGGTGCAGACCTGTGTAGGCCCTGTGATTGCTGTTTCATTCTCTGTGCATTTACATGAGCTGTGCTCAGTCAAGCATTCTTTCTAATTCCATATTATAAGCCAGTAATCTTTTGACTGTGGTTACCCTGGCTCAGGGACTGGGCAGAAATGAACCTCCCTAGGGAAGCCCAGTGCACATGGGTGAGAGGTGGTAGGGAGGACACATTAGAAAGCACACAGAGGTACCAAGATCTCCTTCTAGCTGATGAGTCTCCAAGCATTAAGGAAAATGGACACAGCTCAGATGTTTTCATGTGTTTTATTCATCAAGCACAGGTCAATGCTTGAAAGAATCCTGTCTTATTGATTGGCAAAAGCAGAAGTGATCCTAGTGTGTGTTAATCCTAGCCATCACCAGATGTTACAGGTTATTGTTGAGTGGATTATCTGATCACATCAGATAGAATATTAACTATTATACAAGTTCTTGGCTGTAGAATTGGAGTAGAACATTGACTAAACATCTAGAATCAAAGGATAGTGAAACTGAGAATCCATCTTTAAATGTTGCTCCTGGGAAACAGGTGTGTTCCTAATTGAGCATTAGAACCTGAAAGGAGAATGTCTAATGATAACTGTGATCATTTATAGCAGAGTGTAAAGATGTGTCCTATGGAAAAGCTATGATTTTGCCTTGCTCTTTTTCTAAACCACAGCCAAGAACAACTAACCACATTTACAGGAAGGCAAATGTCACTCACCAAGAACACTTGGAAAAAGAATGAAGGTTTCTAAAAGCAGCTTGCCTGGAAGGAAGTGATATTCAGGCAACTTTAAAGCTTCTGCCCTCTCAAAGGGTGCAAGATGCCTGTCCAGGATATGATAAATTGCTTCTGCATGGATCAAAGATTCTGTTAGTAGTTTGGTGTGTTCCAATCAGAACTGGTGATCTCTACTTTTATACATTTACTCATATTTTCAAATTTGGTTTGCTACCACTGACCTACTTTGTGCACAGATTTTTGAGTTATATTACAAATACAGTGATTACCAGTGTTGAAATCCCTGTAGTTTTCTCTCTTTCCTCTTTCCCTCCTTCCCTCCCTCCATCCCTCCTTCTCTCTCTCCCTCCCTGCTTCTCTCTCTCCCTCCCTTCCCCCTCCTTATCTCTTTTTATTTATTCTTCTCTCACACAATACATCCTGACCACAGATTCCCCTCCCTCCACTCCTCCCAGTATCCTCCCACCTCCCCTTTTCCCTAGATCAACTCCTTCTTCATTTTCCTTCAGAAAGAAGAGGCCTCCAAGGGATACCAACCAAACAGGGCATAACAAGATACAATAAGACTAGGTACAACTTATTTTCAATGCATCCATACATGATCATTAAAAGCAGCAAACTTCTTGGTCAACAACTACATTTAAATTATTTTCTAACAGATGAAGTTCTATACTCTTCAGCCAGTTCTAATGATTAAATGATGTTGTTCAAC